GGTTGCAAGTTGTCCTGTCCAGAAAAGAGGGTGGCAAAACCAAATGGCTTTTTTCGCTCTGAAGTTGAGGGATACATGGAAAACAACTTTATTCTCTCCTTTCTGCTGGTACTCTTAGCATCCAGAATGTCCAAATACTGGGAATGGGGTTGTTCTTGGGAGGTCCTAGACTTTCTCCCTGTGAGCGGAAGGAGGGTTCAGGTTTCCTTGTGTTAAGGAAGGAAGGGTTCAGTTTCCTTGTGTTTTCCTGGTTTTGCCTTCCCCTTCACACTGCATTTTGCCTTCCCCTTGCTGTGCTGCTGTAAACTGGATTTGTGAAATGATCCAAGGTAAACTACCAAGCTACCACCCTTGATCCCCAAAACTGGCAGCATGGAGACAGAACAAGTGGGTGAGCAAGGCAAGGAGAGAGGCAAAGCAGAAGTGTCTGCAGCAGAAGGGAGTGGCAGGGACCACCATGCTAAGGGTGAGAGCTGGCTTGGGGAACACTTGGGAATACAAAGCTTTGTGGGTGAGGCAATAGCAGACTGTCTTGAATCAGCAGCTCTATTGAGAATTGCTTTGTTCTGCTTTTCCCCAACAGCTTTTGAGAAAGTGGGTTTGATACTGACCCAGGAAAAATCCTGCAGAATTCAAAGATATGCCAGTTCTCTCTGGGTCTCAGAGCTGCATGCATTGCACCTGCCCAGGAGAGAGAGATCTTCGTGCTCATCCTCTGCTTTGAAAGGACTTTGAAAGTAGTGGGGTGGCACAAGGCTGAAGGGCAATGCTCATGCCCAGACTCCAGATGTCACGTTTGCAGTAGTGCCTGCAGCCTTTATGGGCTTGCAGAGCATTACCCAAGCCAAGCAACATCACTTCCGTAGCAGCAACATCCCTGATCCTTCCTCCAGAGCTGGGAAGGAGCTCTCTGAAGCCCAGCCGGTGTGTTGTGATATATTGTAATCTTTGGCAAAGACAGGGAGTGTAGGAGGAATGTAAATACATTTGTCCTAAAGGGAGAGTGCTGGTGTATCTGTTTCCAGTTCATGGTAAGGGGATGTTTGATGAGTGGCATCCTCAGTCTTGGAAGACTTTTCTTGTCCTTTCAGAAAAACCACAAACAAACAAACCCTCCCCTGTGCCCCCCAACCCAAACAAATAAAAAAGGAAAATGAAGCAACAAATATGTACCTGTCAGATATTGCTGGGATCCAACCAAGACTTGCTTTTAAGATCAGGCACAAACAAGCTTATTAGCTATGTCTGAAATGTGACCAACTGTTCAAAGTTAAATAATTCCCCTGACTCCTGTGTTCAGCTGTTGCAGAGGGGCTGGATCCTAAACTGCCCTCAGTCAGTTGCAGCTCCAGAACTGGCCCACATAAAGGTAAAAAAATACCTTTTGCCAAGGTTATTGAACTGTGCTTGGTAAGTTGAGAGGCACAGCTATGGAGATGCTGCAGTATCCATTCACACCAGCTGTGACACTGAATTTGGGGGTTTAAGTCTATGTTGCCGTGGGCTATCTGCTGCATTAAGAGTGAGTTTGCATGGTAACACTGCACCCCAGCTGTGCAGAGAGATCCCCCTGAAAACCTGACACAAAGCATGGCCTGAGACCCTCCCACACTCCTTAAGGCCCAGTTCCTTGCCTTGTGCTTCTCTGTCCTCATGCACTGCTGAAGCAGGGGCGTTGCCTGGAAATTCCCAAGGCAAGCAGCAGCTGAGGGACACCAAGGTTGCTCTGGCCCTGTTGGGCAGATAGCACCGCAAGCCCATCAACAGGAGCTGTTTCAGCTCTGCCTAGGTTGGGTTTTTCCCTTGACAAATACCTCAGTGGTGAGCCTTGGTACCCTTACACATGTGCCCAGCTGGATTTTCTTGATGCCCTTTCCCTTCTGGGATGTCCCCAATCACTATGGCATTCTATGTTTGGTGCAGCAGACTTCAAAGAGTGAAGGACAACCTGTGGAAAAGGGAGTATTTGGCTCTCTGTTCCCTGGAGGCCGGGAGTGGTTGGTGGAAGGGCTTGTGTAATTTCTGTAAAGCTGACGTGGGGAGATAAGGTATTGTCACCCAGTATGTGGAGTGTTTCCTTGATAACCTGAGCATGAGCTGTCCTCCCCTATGGGGAGCTTGGGTAGCTTCAGGCAGGACTGTGAAAGATTTCCTAATTGTTTTTTTTTCTTTTTCCCAGGGATGTATATGACTCAGAGGCCGTGCATTTCAGAAGGACTTCCATGATTCTCACACGTGTCATCCCACAGCCTCTCTCGTGTGGGCTTTTTGGTGAGTGCCTTTCCCAGGAGCCGAACCCCAGCTCTCCCGAGGTAGGACTGAGCAGCTGAGGAGTGCGGGGTGTGCTTGAAGTGACAGGGTGGCCGCTGCTGTCAGGCTGCATTGCCACCTGCTGGGGACACCAACGCCCTTCTGTAAGGGGTCCCCTGTGGCATTCACATTCTCTGAACACAGGGACATCATTCTCTCTCCTAAGATTTTTATTGGGGAAGGCAGTGAGAACCTCAGAGAAGAAGAGAAAACAATTCTTATCTATATTCACTACTTTTGTTGCTTTGCACGTGTAGAATGTGTAATAGAAATTGTTTACTTGAAGTGATTTGTTAATTGGACACAGGTGAAAGTTGTTTTGAGTGATTAGCCAATCCCTCAAAGCCGTGTCCGACTGTCTGGAGACAGTCACAGGTTTTTCTTTAGTATGGTATAGTATCTTTTTAGTATGTAATTTAGTATAGTATTAGTGTAACATAACATAGCTTAATAAAACATTTGTTCAGCCTTTCTGAATCATGGAGTCAGAGCACATTATTCCCTGCATTGGGGTCGCCCCACACTGATCATCCCCAAGCTAGTGCCCTGCCAGGGTGAGCCTGGCTGGGCTCCAACCTTTTTCCTCATGTGCTTATTTTGAGCTGATCTGCTGCCTCTTGCTTTGTTGGAGTTTGTCTTCAGGCACTGATAATGTGCAAGTTGTAACTCTGGGGGTTTAAACTATCCTGGTTTGGGTACTGGCCTTCAGGTTTCTTTCATGGGTGCAGCCAAAGGAATGCAGGGGACACTTTGGCCAAAGGACTTGGACATTCTGGGCAGGAACAGGTGAGGAACCTGTGTTGTTCTTCATAATGTAAACAAACAAACAAAAAAGTATTAAAAAAACACCCCCAAAAACTCTTGCTACAAATTACCTGTACGTGCTGGGAACTCACCAGGAGTAGGATGTGTGGTCTTGTTGGGACCCAGCCATGTTCCCTTGGGTGCTGCCTTGAAAGAACCCCACTCAGATTTGGCCAAGTTATTACACTGAGGTGCAAAAACATGGGGAAAAAAAATAGGGGAAATAAGAAGAAAGATGAGACAGTGCTGCAGTGAGGCCTGGCTGGATAACTCGTGTAAACCAGCAGCTTTGGGGCCCACTGGCTGCTTCTCCCAGAGCTGCTTTTGTGGGATGTGCCACCCTTATTCTCCACCTGGCTCAGCTCCAAGCCTGTCAGGTAGAAGCAGCCTGTCCCGGGGCAGGGGGATGAGCAGGGTTTATGGAGGCTGAGATCTCTTCTGCTGTGCTTTTCCCTATTAATTCTGGGAGAGCATCTGCCACACCACAAACCAGCAGCCTGCTCCAAAGTGGTTTCAAAGGGAAACCAGTGTGCATCAAATCCCTGCAGTGGTAGTTCATAAATTGATTTATCAGCTCAGTGTGTCTGACTGCTAAGGCTACAGGGGCTGTGGACAGCTCATGGCAGGATTTTTTGGCAAAAAACTTTAAATAATATTAGCCACTGATTTAGTGTCCGTGCTGATTGCTGTTAGTGGGCATTTAAGAAGTTAATATGTAGGAATGAGAAATGAAGTAATGAGAAATGAAGTAAGTAAATTTATACACAGCATTATCTGTTGCTCTCTTGCACTGCCTTTATGTCACATCTTTGATAGCTGAGGCTGCTGTCAGCTCTTGAGAGCTGAAACCGTGCTGGGCTCTCGGGGGACATGCACACATACATATGGCTTTTGGTTAACAGTCTTTGGGATGTTCTTCATCTTGCTGATCACACTCTTGTACACACAGGAGGTGAACACAAACTGACCCAGATCATAAAGCATTCAAAATAGGTTTTTACTTCTTTCTTGGGACTATAGGTTATTTTTTTTTGTTTTGTTTTTTTTTTTTTTAACAGATCACCATCATGGACAAACACAACCAGCAACAAATGTCAAGTATCTACATGTCTGATAAAGTCCCTCTCAGGTGGCTTGTTGAAACAGAACCATTTGAGTTTTCAAACCTTGTCTTGGTCCTGCTCCCTTCCCTTGGCACAAAGGTGGGTGGAAGTGGGCAGCACCACACCAAACCCCTGTATGAGAAAGGAAGGTGTAACCAGAGAAAGTGTACTATGCTGTTTTCTCATCCTCACTGCTGGACTCCCTTCCTCAAGACCTTTACCACAAACCTTAATATAAACTATAGAAAACCAGGTTGTGTAGGAACTCAAGCAACTTAATATATGCTTGTGCTAGAGGGGCAGGATCACCTCTATTCATACCACTCCTGACAGCTTGGTCTTAAAGCTTCTGCTGCTGGACAGTCACAGCCTCCCCAAGGTGCCCCGTTCCTCCTTTCACTGAGCAGGAGGTGCTTTGTTAGGAGAATCCACCTCTTTCTTTTAGTGGCCAGCACTGCACACAGGTGTATTTTGCTGCAACCAACAGTAACCTGCAGGACTCTGGTCTCCAGTGGAAGCCACCGAGGGAGGATACAGGCTTGGATGGAGACACCAGTGTAAAAGGATGCCCTGGGATGAAAGCACAGCCTGCAAGGGAAAGCCCAGGAGTGGCCTTGATGCATTGGAGATGAGGGAAAAATGTGAAATACACTTAACACTCAAGGTGGGTGGAAGGCCACTGAGCCTCCAAGAGCTGCCAGCACAGCACAGCTGTTGTGGGATACGTTGATCTCTTCAGACATGAATCCTGGTCACAAAGCAGGAGGTAGAAATAACTCAAAGTTTGGTTGTTTCAGCATTTTTATTAGACAGTGCTCCACTCAACAGTTGTACACAAGGCCCTGATGCTCCCCTGATCAGTGCACAAACCTTGGGACATCATGCTCTCATGCCACCACGACCCAGGCTGCACAAACCATCTCCTTTGACAGAAGTGATGCCCAGGAGAAACCCAGGCTCAGAGCAGTGTCCCTGCACTGCCATCACACCAGCCAAGTTGGGAGGTAACTTCAAATGCTGTTTGATTAGGCAACTGCCCTCTGCTTCCCAGTCACCTCCCTGTGCTGCTTGGGTCCTGTGAATGACAGGGGATGCCTGCTCTGTTCACAGGAGCCTGAGCCTTCTGACAGGGATGCCCACCCTCAAGATGAGCTTTTCTGCAATTCAGGCTGTCTTTTGATGGACTTTCACAAACCTTTGAGGGCAGCGTGAGTGTGGGCTTTGAGGAAACAAATGGGCCTTCCAGAGCTGGTTTCTGCTCCTTGCCTGGAGGAGGTTCTCATGGAGCAACCTGTGCCTCTGGGCTCAGCTGCCCTGCATTCAGGCATGTGTGAGCGTAACCCTGCCAGCTCTGGTGGTCCTGCTTTGCCATTGCTGGTCCAGGAGAGTGGCTCTGCTGCCCTGCTATTTCTCCCCTGCTCATCTGGGACTTGAGGCACTCAGCAGCTCAGCCCTCAAAATATCAAAACCCATGGCCACATTGGTGCAGGCTGAGGAGCTGCTCTCAAACAGCACAAAGCTGTGTGGCTACATCTGTAAACTTCCCTGAGCTCAGTGTTTAGCTCATGCTCAGTGCTAAGAAAGTGGTTTACAGAGCCAGGTCCCAAATTTCTGTGAACTGGTGCAGCATCAGCTAAGGATAGAAAAGCAGATTTCCCTGCAGGTACCTGATCTGCCTGACACATCAAAGCCAGTTAACCTAGTGCAGATTTTCCAGTTGGGTAGATGAGTGGCTGCAAATCAATCTACAACAAGCAGTAGCAAGGCAATCAAGTGACTCAAATTATCCAGGTTTGGGAAAGCTTATAAAAGAAAACATGTAAATAACATCTATACAGCTAATAGGTTAAACACTGGCAGAACTCAGTGGCATACATTGCTTTTCCCTTTGTTGCTGCTGGTGGGCACCTGGCACCACCTAATACACAAATTTAAATAAAGACTGCAAAATAAACTCTCAAAGCTAACAAGAAGAGACCACAAAAGCAAGCATGCTTAGCTCACTTTTGGACTGGAGTTTGCCATTGAATGACCAATGGAATAACAAGGTTTAATGTAATATGGCAGTGGATTACTTGTCTGTCACTGGAACAAATGCACAGAAGAGCCTTTGCCTTTAGAGCAGATAGGTGCAAACTCAGGACAAGCCTTTGGCATGTCAGTTCCAGCTCTGCCAGTTGCAATATGATATTCAGAATATACATAAGACTCCACAGTCCATCACATTCACTTCACGTGGCACAGCCCAGATACTGAACCATCTGCTCTCTGGGTGCTCAAAAAGAAAACACTTGAAAACAACTTCCAGGGCAATAGTCTCAGTTTTCCATCTGTTGTCCTCCAAAGGCAGCTAAATTCCTGCAGCTGTTTGTTAGCACAAAAAGAAGTTAAATAGCCCAGGTTACATTCAATAGGAAACTTCTTCCCAGGAAATGGGATACAGGAAATAGCAAAACTCTGTAGCCAGCCAAATACTGTATAGTTCTCCCTGCTCCCACCTGCAGCCCTGAGTTTTTAAGGGACACCAGCAAAGCCTGCAGTATGTCTTTTAAACTAAACAATATAATGAGACAACTAGAAATGTTAGAGAACTCAGCATGCCCTCAGGAGGATGGATTTACGTTCAGTTAGGCGAACAACGGTGAGTCTGGAAAAAGGAGAAAGCAGCCTTGAACTGCATTTCCAAGTGCAGAAGGATACAGGGCAGCAAACTGCCACGCAGGATTCAGATTTAGAGTTCAAATGCAGGGAACTTGGCCTTGGTAGGCACCAGCAGGTCAGCAAGAAAGTAAATTGTTCCAGCCATTCCTGAGGATGAAAAAAACACACTGTGCTTCAGAGAAATTCCCTTTGGGCACTGTTTTTCTCAGTTATCCAGGGAGTGAATGAGTTATGAAGACAGAAGAAAAGGTCCAAAATAATTTTCAAGGTCTAAGCCCAGGTTTCCCAAGCAACTTTGGTACCTCAGTGGGGAAAAGCATTTTGAAGTTAATCAAATGTTGAAAAGTACCTGGCAAACCACCATGGGTCTTTTCCCCACTCCATCTCCCTCCATTCTGCTTTACCCTTCCACAACTTCAACACTGGGCAGCTTTGTCAAACTCTGGTCTTTGAGACACTGCTGCCCAAGGTCCTGACTGATGGAACTTCTGCTGTCCCCTGGGCTGCAGCAGCCTGGAGAGATCAGGGTTAGCTGGGGGGCTGGCTCCTTCAGCAAATACCTGCTGATGGCAGATTTGGGGGCAGCTGTCAGCAGGAGGCACTAAGTGCCATAGGAGCCACCATGGCCCATAACAGCAGCCCCATTTGTTCCTCACGTTTAGAATCAAACTGGAACACTCACAAAGGATTTCAATACTCAAAAATGTACAGAAAAGAGACTGTCTGAGAAGCCAGGCTACAAATAACCAAAAGGAAGCCTGTAGCCATGAAAGAATTCCTCTTGAGATCTGTATGTAAATTTGTGTGGGGGGCCTAAGAGGACAAGATGCTCCAGCTAAGATATTAGCCTGTGCTACAGGGATACTCCTTCTGGGCAAGGGCAGAAAAACCCAGTGGGTACAATTTCCTTTCTGTCTTCTACACTGACTTTTGCAAAGGCTCCAGTGGAGTTTGTATTCTGTTTTCCTTGGTGCTAGGACAGCTTAGATCCAGGGGCAAAACACAAGGCTAGAGACTGAGATTACCTTCAAAGAGAGAGAACGGTGTGTCTGGAGTCCGGCACCCATGCTGCCCATAGCTTAAACACCACTCTGCAAACTGAAAAAGAGGTAGAAAAAGTGTTCAAAGTTGGTTAAGGGCAAGTCCTGAGAAGAAAATACTATCCCTTGTGCCCACACTACCCCTTACAGAGCAAGGCTTCTGAGGGAAATCCCTTCTGTACAGCGACTGCACTGTTGAAGGACTACTCTGGTGCAGCTTGTCAGATCTTGCTGCATGTCTGCCCCACTAGAAATTGGGTTTCAAAGGCAAAGGCAGTCATGTAGAAGGCAGAAGTGAGTAAGGCCCTCTATTGCCTCACACCCACTCTTACCTTGCAGGCCCTGTAGAGGTATTTCATGTTCTGAGTGAGGTTGTACAGTGCCAGGAAGGCATAAGCATTGCCAGCTGTGCCATGGCACAGCCCATAGCCTTTCTTCAGTAACCCATACTGCCAGATCACTTCTGCACACTGCAGGGCATCATTCAGGTACTGCTGCTCCCCAAAGACCTGTGGAGACAAGAAACTGTTGTCCCTGCTGAGGCAATGTCCTCCAAACAAAGAGCATCCCTGTGGGATGCAGAGGCTTGGGTGTCCTGCTGAAGTGACTCTGCTGTTTACTTTTAAAGGAGGATACTTTTGGTATCATGAGTGGGGATGTAAGACCATTACTCCACACACAACTAGTTGTCACCATCCACCACCAACAACAGGGCAGCCCACACAACTGATGGGTATTTTCAGAAATATTTGTTTAAAAGACTAATTTCTGTATCAGAGGTTAGTGTGGGGTGATTTCACTGTTAACAAGCCATCCTACTTCCAAGCAAAGGCGGTGTTCCAGCATCTTCTCCAGAGGAAGTTTCACATTTAGGGGTCTCTGAAGGGTCTTTGCAAGGTGTCTGGTACCTTGTATGCCTGGAGAAGCATGTAGATTACACCTGGTGCTCCATGGCACCAGTGGACGAGGAGGTCTCTGGTGTCACCGATGCAGGGAGGGTAATTCCCAGATGGGAACTTGAGCTGGCAGACATAGTCCACGCTGGGCTTGACTGCGTTGTGCAGCTTTACTTGGCTCACTCCAAAGCCAGGCTAAGAGAGAGAAAACATTTAAATCGCGGAGAATGACCATTCTGTCTGTCCCTAAGAGATCCAAGGTCTGCCCAAAAGGTGGAAACAAAGTCAACTATGGCTACATTCCCTCCTGCTCCTTGTAAATGAAGTAATTTCTTTGGTTTGGGCTTTCCCACTTCACAAATACCCAATCAGTCCCTGGCTGCTGTGCCTTTTGGCAGGAACTTATTTCCACTCCTACCCTTTCATCCCAGAAAAAAAGACTATTCCTAGCATGTCACCTGGTCCTCTAAGCAAGAAAGCTTGCTGCTGCTTTTCCTAAAGATGAGCAGGAATAGCTTCAGGTACCCAGAGCTGAACTAAAGTGATAGCAGTCTAAAATCAGTATTAAGGATGATTCCGTGCACCTAGAGCATCTCAGCCCTCAGCTGCTGGGCCAGCCCTGATGGCAGGCTGCAATTCTGAATCTTCACAGTTGTTGCTCGGTAATTTCAAGAGGCTGACTTCACTGCTGACCTCAGATGAAGGCAAGGGAATGGCTTCAGTGTCCCAAAGACGCTGCCCCACATGAAATCTGTGCAGTTCTAATTTCCCATGGCAGACTGCAATGAACACTCTCATCTAAGGATCACGCTGTTCTCAGGCTGGTAACAGGAAAATTAAAAATCAATACTTGTGCTGTAAAACCATTAGAGATAAAAGATGTTTTCCTCTCCATATTTCACACGCTTGCTTCTCCCAAGGCTTTTTGTGCATCATGCTTGGCTGATCCAGGCTCCTTTTACTTCATATAGCAGAGCAGCATAAGCCCATGCAGTATTTTATGGGAGACTTAAAATGATTTAAAACAGCCACTTGGGAACAAGCTCAGGTACTTGGTACAAATTTAGCTCACAGCACATGGCTGTCTCCCCTGCTCTTAGCTTGCTATTCTGTGCTTCTGGGTAATAACCACCTTGCATTCCCCTCTTGCCAAATCTTCTACTTAAAAACCACCAACCACCTCTTCCTCTCCGAGCAACAGAAAAGTTATATTCACAGGACTTCTACTGATCCTGTATATGGAATTTAACTTTGACTGTCCTGAAGGAAAGCTCAAATTCTTGAAACCTGGTGGCTTCCTTTTCCACCTGCTCTCAGAGTTATGTCTAATAAAAGCTTATAGACTACTTCCAGACCAAAATAATTTGTGTTGCTCATGGGTGCTTTTAATGCTTTAAAAATTCAATGTTATTTTTTGCTGTTATTTTTCTAAGTGCTTAAGCACTGTAAATATATGCACAAAGGGAGCCACATAGGGGAATTATCACCCTCATTTTTTCAGAGCCAGAATAGGGAATATTGACAGAGCTCCAGTGAGTTGTGCAGAATAGTGAGAAAGCATCAAAGCAAAGAGGTACTGCATCTCCCAGCCTCTTGTCTTGCTCTGCCTGCTTCTGGCACTGCAGAACTCAGTTCCTTTATCAAAGTCCCACCTCTTCCACATTTAGAAGCAGGTTCTGCTTTGGATACAGAGGCATTTCCCACTTTTCTACTATGAGCACAGTATTTTTAACCATGCTTTTCTCTCAGAGATTCTCACTCTGCTCCAAGTAACCATCTCAGAAGATGCAGGGAGCCAGCAGATACCAACAAATGTGAATAATTTAGAAGCAATTAACATGAGGGGGAAACTCAGACCCAGCTGAGCTACAGGCCTCCATTATGTGACACTGCTGGTTAATGCAGGTCACGTTTCTCCACAGATCTCCAAGGTCAGAGATTCAGTCTTAGATTTGAAGAAAACCTTTACAATTGGAAATGCGTGATAAACACATGGGTAGGCCCCATCAGTGTTTTTCCCAGTTTGACATTACCAAGAGCCAAGTGAAATGCTGTTCCTTGTTCAAAGAAAAGTGAAACAACTGCTAAGGACCCCTCCCCTTGTGTCTCTTACCTGCATGAGATAGTAGTAGATGCCAGCCAAACCATGGGCTGCTCCTACGTAGTACTCCTGGTACCACTCAAACATCAGTGGGCTCTTTGCTGTGAAGTTCCTCTTTTTGGCTAAGCTCTCTCCTGAGGCTACAACTGCTTCACAGACCTGTGAAGGGATGGGAACGAATGTGGGTGAGGGAAATGTTGCTGCCCTGGACAAAGCACAGCGAGTATTCCGACACAGAACAAGATTTCTTTTTCTGCCCAAGCAGAGGGTGGAATGAAATGTATGCCAGTCTAGTACTGCCTATGGACTTACAGGGACAGTGGTGCTTTGTACCTTTGGAAGAAAAGCCATACTATGATGTGTTTTCTCCCTTATTGCCAGAGTTCTTTACATCTAGCATTGATTTTTACCTGCCCCAAGATGAGTTGCATGGGAAGAGACAGATAAGAAATCAGCAAAAGGCCCAGTACCTGCTGAATGTGACTCTGAGGGATCTTTTCCTCTCCGAAGTGCTTATTCACAAATACCAGTGCAGAGAGATAGCCCATGCGCCCGTAGAGGAGCTCATCTGGCACTCGTGGGTCAGCCTTGTGTAGGTGCAGCAAACTGCAATGAAACATTCATTGGGGGAGATGAGAGGGAAATGCACTCAAACTTTACACTCAAAGCCATGTAAACAAGCACTAAGGCTGGAGCTCAAAACCCTGGTTCATTCCTTCATGTGCCCTAGGAGCTGTCAGAACAGGCTCTGGCTCTCAGCCTTGCAGCTGCAGGAGGTGTGGAACCACCCCTTCTCTTCTGCCTTTTGTCTGGCTGATTGCTTCAGTCTGCTCTGCTCTTCACAATGCACTCATACTACGTGCTTTGGTTTTACAGCACCAGCTTGGAAAGCTACAGGAGGGAGAAACCTGGGCTAAAAGAAATGGTCAGCATAAAGCTGCTGACTGCTCAGGAAAGGCTGCCCACCATTATCTCCTTTTGATGTTATTGGCAAGGTGGATACTCCGTCAAAAATCAACACTTTCAAATTATAGGGCTATCCTTTTAATTTGGCTGCCTAAGGAATATTTGAAAGTCAAGCTAGTGCTAACAGTATGTGGAAAAATCTCACCCCCAATGCTCTAAAGTCCTGATAGAGAAGCCCCTTCCTCTCCATGCCTACAAACAGCCTGGGCTATTCTGTCAGGTGAGACAGAGGTGTCTCCATGAGCTAAAAATCTAAGTAAGAGGTGGAGCTACACAGTTGTTTAACATCAAGCTGCCGGTGGCACATGGAAGAAACATGCTCTAGGGAGAACTGAGCCGCAGTGAGGACAGCTTAGCAAAGTGGGAGTGCTGTGGCTGGCTGAGGACAGCTTGCCTGGCACCAGGCTTTAGCCCACAAGTGCAGAGTGAGGTCTGCTGCAGTCAAGTATTTTCTTTTCCGTGTTTCTATTATGATATTGCAAAGCTGGTGATATTCCTGTAGTGCTAACAGAGACTGACAGCACTTCACACTTGTGCTTTGTAGCCCAATTCATTCCTGATGCAATTTTTCCTTTGTTTTACCTCTCATCACACTTCCAGAAAGACTGGATGTCCTTCCCTGTCAGGGCAGCAGTTAGCAATGTGATTGGATTTGACTTTATTTTTCTGTTCACCTGTAAGACAGCAATCTGAAAAGTGCCCTCACTTTTAAAATACCAGCATAAGTGGCTTTAAGGCTATTCCCTGACTGTTTCCATCTGTGAAACCAGCCAGGAAAAGCTTTGTGTGTGCTGATCACACAATGCCACAGCAGTGTGAAGAACAGAAAAGGTGCCTTGGCTCCCAGGGCTCCAGGGACTTTGCAAGACTGTGTTGCAAAATAAAGAAGGAACCAAATGCCTCAAGTACAGAGGATGGTGGGCTGTGACTCCTCATGTCAGGAAACTTCTCCCGTGGCACTGGACTCAAAGTGCACAGGGATTTTGAAGGAGAAAGGAGGGAGCAGTGTCTCAAGGTGGACTGGCTCTTGTACCACTTGACATGTGGACTGCTCCATGGGGGAGGTTTCTTTAAACCCAAGAGACAGACTTTACACCCAAGGCATGGGTTATCCTCCCTGCTGCAGGAGCTGAAAGGAAAGACCTTGTGGTGCCTATCACAGAGTCCAAGGAAGGCAGATGAAGAGTGTTTCCAAGGAGCTGTTTGGACAGATAGACTCCACCTGGCAGCAGGCTGGCCAGAAGAGAAGCTGGCTGATGATGTTGTTCAGCTCTGAGATGTCAAGAAATGTCAGGTGACATAGAAGGAGTGGATGGATGTGTGAATTGTAATACCAGGGTTAGGGATTTTCTCAGTTCTGGATGTGATATCTTCTTTTTATGGGAAAATCTGGAGCAACTGGACCATTTTCTGTTCTTTGTGCATTACTGCTTTACCTCTAACTGCTTTTCAAGCAGGATCATCAGGAGAGGAAGCCTGCCAGGAGTTTTTGCTTCATGCATTCAAAAAGAGATGCCTGGGATGCTGCTGGACTGATTGCATGCAGAATGCATTTCTCAGGTGTGTGGGGTAAGTTGTGGTCTCTGAAGAAGAGCTACTCCTATTCACATTATCAGCCTATCACCTCAGCTGTCAACAATCAGCAGTTTCTGGACAGAGGGAAATTAAGGCAGCTGTAGAGCAAAATGGGATTTTTGTACACTATTGGCTCTGAAAGCAAAGCTTTGACCTTCTGAATTGGTGGGAGGTGACAGGAAAAAGAGGGCTCCTAGAACATGGCTCAGATTTTCACAGGCTCTTGGAAAATAGGCCGCCCTGAAACATCAGTCTCTCTAGAGCATAAAAGCACATTTTTTGGTCATGAACTCATTTAGGTAAAGGCAAGCTTCTGTCTGTTCTACTGCAGGTAAAACCTGGCTGATGGATTCTCTCTACTGGCTCTGTAAAGATGAGGTGCTTTAAAAGACAGAGGACAAAATACAGAGAAGCCCTTCTTCTCCAGAGCTCTGAAAAAAGTGCTCTTTCTATGCACTTGCACTGCAGAGCTTAGCAATTGTCCTGTAACTAAACAGCATACTCAAAAACCATTTAAGAGTTTTGATTTAGGAAGCTACTTCTCAAAGAAATACTCCATTTTAAAGGAGCACAGTCAGGCTAACTGCTCTGGGAATTGGTGGCAGAGTAGGGACAGTATAACTGTTCATTTGAGAAAGCCACATTTTTCTGTTTTCCTCTTGCAGACATATGAAGAAACCAATTTCCAGTGTTCTGACTTTATTATACCATTAGATGGCAGTGCAAAATTAATCACAAGATTCCATTCTGCCACCAAACCACAGGCAGAACAAGAGGGATATGGGGAGGGGAGACCTCAGCAAGAAAACATGAATTAGGGATTGTTTTTACAACCTGGGACTTATGCACTGACTACAACTGGCCAGTATTGTTTGATAGATTAATTCCCTTTTTGTTAACAAATATGTTAATCATAGTGAGATTTGCCACTCTTTCAAAGCAAAATCTAACCCACGGATTATTACTAGAATAGAGTTCTGTCCTCAGTCTGACTGTATCTACATAAACCAGAAGTTAGTTAAGGGAGTGGAACTTGGTGTCCAAACCACAGACTCCTCTGATTCCCACCTGAGGCTTTTTAAAATTGCTATTATGCATCATTTGCTCATGGCTGTTTAAGGGCAGTCAGCATTCTGAATGGTCAGGGGTTTTGTCTTTCTTTGTGCTGATCAGCTATGTGTAGAAACTCTCTACAGGGATGTTTCTCACCTTCTTAAAACACATCTCCTTTAACTGAGAAATGCTTGCAACTACATCTCCTTAACTATTTTCCTTCCTCTGCCACATGCTGATCTATGCTTGCTTGTTTGTCCTTTTCTTGTCTTAAGTACCCAACGAAAATGCATGTGAAAACAGTCGAGGAAAGGCAGGAAATAGAAATAAATGAATCATAACCAGCTGCATTCTGCAGTTGAAAGGGATGCTGTCAATCTTAGGTTTAAGTCAAAGACAACTAATAAAAAGCAAGTGGAAGCAAGTACCAAAATTAAATCTAATAATCTTACCACATTTTTCCTTTTCATCAAAATGACTGTAAAGCTAAATTAAAACGTTCACAAAAAACACCAACCCCCACCTTCTGGCTTTTTTTGTTTTTAATTTGGGCACTTTTTTCTTCCTGTGTTTATCAGAATTATTTTTAAGATGGCAGTACCAGCTGAACAATATCCTTTCTCCCCACTTGCAGGCTGCCACACAAACGTGTTTATCCTTAAACCACCTCTTTTACCAGGGCAGGAAAAGTTTTTGCTGCCTTGCTAAGTTACTAGACTATTTCTCACACAAGACTGCAACAAAATGTATTCACATTTGTCAGAGAGTGCCTCATACAAGCCCAGACCAGCTCTGTGAGCAAGAGGAAGGTCAGGTGAAAGACATAAGCAAGTCTTTTACCGGATGATGCAGTCTTCTGCCTGCTTCTGGTTCTGCAGCTTGTGGTAGACGACAGCAGCCACTGCCAGGGGCCCGGCATCACCACACAGGAAAGTGATGGATCGCCTGGTCAAGCACCTCAGGCTCTTCTTCACGTACTCATGGGCCACCTGAAGGTAGGCTGGGTCTCCATACACATCAAACAGGTGCAAATACAGCAAAGCAATGCCTGCAGAAGGAACAGAAAGGTTGCATCCACCAGAAATGCTTGCCCTGTTACTTCAGTGAAGCTGAAAGTCTGACCTGGCCCTCATCTAGGGCACAAGCCTGACAGACAGGCTTCTCAGGGACATAACCCACAGCTTCCTTTCCTGCTTTGTCATCTCCTTGTAACTTGATGCTGCTTGTGAGTGGATGGCAGGTCAAGACAGCCTGGGTCTGTCCCAGGAAGGCCTGGAGAACAGCATAGAATTGCATAAAATTTTATACACAATTACATACAATTTTAGTAGCAAGGAGCAAAAGATGAGACCTAGACAAACACACCTAAATCCATACACTGTACCTGTGACTTTTGCTCAGCAGTGAAGGGGGAAAAAACCCCAACATTTGGGCAGATGGTACTTGTGACAGCAGAACAGAGATGTCACCCTCTCTATCTTTTCCCCATGGTTAGGGGGTAAGGGGTTAGGTCACTTAGCTTGGACTGGATTTTTTAAAAAAGTAACACACCATCAGCACTGAGAAACAGCATCCTTAGGAAATCCAGACATCATACTTGACTCTTTTTAAAAATTTCTTTCTATTATTCTTTTTTAATTCCTTTCCACTGGGAAGCACTGGCAAGGCTGCTGCAGTTCCCTGGACATCATCTCCTGCTGTTGAGCAAGTCCTAGGCCCTAAAGCAAGGACTGGTGCATCCTAGAAAAAAGGGACTGCCTAATTCTCCTCTGTAGCAATCACTCATGAGATCAGCCCTTGTCTGAAACACAAACAGCTGCCCGGAATACTGGAAAAGGCTGGATGGTGCTCATCAGAGGTTTCCAATGGACTGGCCAGCTACCAAAACAGTTCTGCCACTGAGCAGTCACATCAACTGCTGTCCTTTGCCTCTGTCTGCCTTGTCTTAACCCAGCTCTTGAAGCTTTCAGTAGGTGAATGAGGAGCTCTCAGTAAGTCTGAGCCTGACAGGTCAGTCACACTTGAACCATCCTTCTGATCTGAGAGCCATCCTCAAACCTGCACTGAAAAAAACTACTGGCCTACATCACTTTGAGAAGAGCTTATTTCTCCCCTTAACAATAACCATTTCTAAGAAGACTCAGGTCCTGCATTAAGCCTAAATTAATAGAGCCAATCTCTGCAGATTTTGATGTGTTAAGGTCAAGGGAGCAAGCGTGCTGCAAAATTACAGTCCAAGGTACTGAGGACAATTTCAAACTTGGATAATTTTCTCATTTTGCATGGGTAATCTTCAAAGCTTCATGTTACAGACAATTCAATTCCACATGTACATTATGTATAACATTTCCATTTCCTGCTGAAGCTAATAACCTTGTTCTCTCTCTAAGCAATTCAGTGCTAGCAATTCTAGAGAGAGCTCAGCTGCACAGTGCCATCACTCAAGTCTGTAAGGATGTGGATATGAAGCCCTTCTTTAAAGGGGAACCCTCCTTTTCCAGCTAGAAAATGTCAAGTGACTCTCCTTGATTTTTTTAGTACCTAGCACATCTTCTAGACTCTTATTAGCCTGATAGCTGTCTGAGCACAACTTGACTTAGCTGCTTTAATATACAACTTTTAGCTTTGTAAGTAGTTTCTATTCCCACTGCCATCATACCACCCTAATTACGCACATAAATACCCTGCCAAGACCACTGCAAGGACTGAATTCTTAGAAAGTAAATCTCAGCATTGTTTTCCTCTGATTTCTTTGCCTCTCCTCTTTTAAAACATTTCTCACCCCATTCCTCTCAGGCCCAAGCATCTTTGGAAAGACTCCAAAAAACCACTGACCTGTACTAAACGATGAAGCTGCTTCCCAAAACATTCACTTTTCCTTTTTATTTAAAACTGAAAGGTCTTATAAACTGCATCTAAAGCCAGTTTTCTCAATTAATTACTGTTGTCAATTGATACTGGCAATGCTCCAGGTACCCACGAAAGCTGTTTGTTGTTAAACCTCTTCTGTTATAGCTGGGCAGAGGGGAAAAAATTAATAAAGGGCTCATGTGTTGAGATAAGATTGGGAGAAAAAACACTCTAAGACCAAAACAGGTTCAAATTTAAAGGTATAAAGTAAATTTATTATTAACAGAGTTAGAGGAGGATAATGAGAAATAAAATAAGCCTCTAAAACACATTCCCCCCCTCCCCAGCCCCTCCCTCCTTCCAAGTGACAGCAGAGGGAGACAGGGCATGAGGGTTTTGGTCAGTTGGTCACCTGAGATCTTCTGTCCACTCAGGGATAGGAGTCTTTTCTCAGCTATGCTGTGGGGTCCCTCCCATGGGCAAACAGTCATTCCAAAACTGTTGTGGCATGAGTCACTTGTCCAGGGGGTACAGTTTTTTAAGGACAGGCTGCTCTAGTCTTGAAGCAAGGGCTCTGTCTTTGTCTATCTCTGGAAGCAGGAGCCCTCTTGCTCTATTTGGGTCTCCCACTGGATCACAGCTTGCTCTGGCATCCACCCACTCTGGCATGAGCACTTCTCCCATTGGCTGCAAGTGGAACTCTGCATCCCCTGTGGACTTGATGCATTACAGGGGCACAGCTGCTTTGCCATGGTCCTCACCAGAGCCTGCAGAGGAATCTCTGCTCTGGTGCTTGGAGCATCTCCTCCTTTCTTTCCGCTGACCTTGGTGCTGCCATGTTTTTGCCCACATGTCTTCACTTCCTCCTCCTTTCTGACTAGAAGAAAAACTGCTACTTGTAGGTACCACTGTCAGCAAGTTCCACCAATTCAAAGATTCCTGCAGGATCCTGTAGCACTGAGAAGCTGATCTCATCTAGGTTCCATGCCAGGGAATTAATTGCTCATCCTGTTTCCACTGCCAGCCAGGCAGCCCTGCTGCTGTCACATGGGCAGTGGCGGCTGTGGCGGCGCTGGGGCTGTTTAACGCCTTTCTTCATGTGGAGAGTTGTTAAAAAATAAAAGCAAGGTTTGCAGGTTCCACAGGTACATAAGGTGTGATCCATAGTCTCTCTGTTCAGCTCACATCTCTGTACATGTGGGGTGCAGGGAAGGAGAAGCCAGCACCCCAGTCCTGCCCTTTCAGCCACGGCGCTGTATTGCCACAGACTGTGCCAGCATGGCAGCAGCCACGGTGCCTCCCCACCCCGGGGGAAAAACTGTGTGCACGGTTTTGGTTTTCTTCTTAAGTGTGTCAGCACAGAGGAGTTACCAACCTCTGTAAGTGGGCCAGCAGTGTGTCCATCTTCAGAGCCATCAGGGGCTGGCTCTGCTGGACACGGTAGAAGCTTCCAGCAGCTCCTCACAGAAGGTACCCCTGTGGCCTGTCCCTGCTACCAAAAATCAGGCCAAATCAACACAATTCCTCAAGGAACTTCTTATTCCCAAACTGATCAGAAGGGCACAAGCAGTGCTGCCTTCAGCTTGCTGGTCCCTCTGTTGCCATGTGTGGGCCTCAGTGGGGAGAAGGCAGCAGAGGAGGGCAGGCACAAGCATGAAGAGGCAATGTTGACAGGTGTATGCAGAGGAATACAACATACAGTCAGCTTGGTGGGGATAGATGGTATCAACCTGTGTGCCAAGGTGCAGGGAGAGTATTTCAGAGGCAGTGCAGGTCAGAGACAAGAGTATCCACATTGTGACCTTGGTTCAGTTAAGGTAGTGCTGCTCTGCAGAAGCTCTTCCACAGCTCTGCCTCACTCCCTCTCCAATATTCCTCACCCCAGCTGACTGGGTAGGTTTGTGACTGACTGGGTGTTTGTTTGGCATGCTTTAAGTGGTATACAAACATGGCATCACCAGACATGTGGAGCTAGGTAGGCTGTAGATTGGCTCCATTTCTGTGTGCCCTGGAGGTCTGATGTTCAGTGTCCTAATTGGAAATGTGACCTAATTTTGTGACCTCTGGCTGTTTCCAAGCAGAACTGCCATACAGTGGCCAGCTGTGGCCTGCTACTGCCAAAGATGTCTGGGCTTTTTCCTGTTGGGTGTTTATTACAGGACCTTTTTCTCTGTAGTTTCTCAGATGTCCAAGTCTTTTGCTTCTTGCCCCTGCTGCAGAGCTGAATGAGATGGGGAATACATCAGAGAGTCCTTGATGGTAGAGGGCTGCACTGAACACGTGCTGCTGACAGCCCAACAGGGCTTTGCTGACTGAAACAGCCACCTCCAGCATGCAGAAAGCCAATACACAGGAGCTGAGTGTCAGTGCCCAAGATGCTTGCTCATTGCAGGGAATCAGGAGGCCAAAGTCAATCCTGTGTGCTTCACAAAGCCTGCTTAGTCAACACCTTCAGAAGGACAGTAAACAGCACCTCTCCTCCCACCTTCCTGCAGGGTAGGTGCAGAGGGCTACTTTGCATTAGAGATTTCTTTAGAGTGGGGCAGTGGAGTTACAGACAATTGTGCCAGACCTACAGCCAGCTTGTGCTGATGCCCTGACTTCAGCAACCAATTCTTTCAACAGAGCAGGCACTGCTGGAAATACCAGGTAAGGTCTTGCTTGTGAGCTGAAGTTCTGCAGTAGGCAGAAATGTGAGCTAAAGCTCTGCAGTAGGCAGAAAGAGTATCTCATCCACCTGACCATTCTGTTGATCCAAGAGAAGCTGTGCCTCAACTTCTCTGCAAGTTTAGACTTGCTCTTTTGTTGGCCTACAAGCAGTTTGCTTCGCAAGCAAGTTATGCCCTTAGACTGCTCTGAACATGCCTCCTTGCCCAGAAGGAGCTGAGCTGTGCTTGGTTTACCAAGGAAAGGAGGTTGCCACAAGAGGATATTTTGTTCCAAACCGACCACCTAGAGTTATAAAGATCTCAGAGATCTTGCATTGACCCAGGGCAGTAAATCAGCCAGCAGCCTCAAAGCAGGATGTCAAACACAGAGGGAAGAAACAGAAACCTATCTCTGCACAGTGATGAAGCCTGATGTTTCTAATGAGACAGCTGATGCCATTTTATTAAGTTAGGCATGGGGTAAAAGAGCATGGATGGCCCAGCTTTATTGCCCAGCTCAAATGAAAATTAGCATCTCTCCTGGTGCAGACACATGGGATGCTACCTTGCACTCCTAAATGCATGCCAAAGCCACACTGCATGCAACAGTGAGACACCTCTGGAAGTCCATGTTCAGAACTGGCTGGGGAGCCAGTTTGCAGGTTCTGTTCCGACTGCATGATTGACTATCCAGGATGCCTGAGCATTTATCCTGCCTTAAAACCTGGGTAACAGAGCTTCTTCTGTTAACCTTTTTACCCCACCACAAAATCCTACAACAGGTTAGGTTAGCAGGGATCAATGGTGATGTGCTCCAACCTCTGAAAGGAAGATCAACCTCAAATTTGCATGCCATTGCTCTGGGCCTTGTCCAGTCAAACACTGACTATCTCCAAGAACAGAAAATTCACAAAAACTACCTGCCAAGCATTTGGCAGGAAGGTGGTTTATATGAGTGACCCAAGGCACTCTATTATCTCTCAGCAAATGCAGCCTCACTTTCCCTTGTTCTGTAGGGATTATCTGAGGATTTCCATTATTCTGAACAGGACTAAAAGGGACATAAGGTCTCTGGATTCTGAGGTTAAAATGCAACATATTGCACTAAAGTGAATGAAAAGTGTTTTTCCAGAACTGGTTCAGTTGTAATTTCATTCTTACATGGCTTTCCTTTCAAAAGACAACTGAGCCCTGCTCTTCATCCCTACATCACAATGGGCCAGCCAAAACCTGTGGATGGGGCCAGTTGAACTTACTCTGCGGTTTTGGAGGCTCTCCATGACTAAGACATTGCCAGAGAAGAGGAAGCTTGCATGGGAAAGAAATTCAGTGAACTACCACACTGTGGAGGAAGGTGAATCTCTCCCTTATATACCTCATCACCTTGGAAGGATGCAACAGTCCAGTAGGCACTGGACTCAGGAGCATCCTGGCTTCTGCAGTCACCTGGTGACAGGTGTGAATTCCTTCTGTTCCTTTTCCATCAGCTATGCTCCCAGTCAAGACAGTCTTCAGAGCAAGGCCTTTTGCATGATCACAAACACCAACAGGCATACAGGTATCCCTCAGTATCCTCAGGCCAATCTGTTTGGAAATGGATGAGGCTGCTGTGCTTCTACCAGGATCTGAACTGCTTCTGACTCAGAATTAACTGAGAGTAGTTCAGCTTCCCTCAGTCAACACTGTGATACCACTGAAACAGATTAGGGAAAAAACTCTTCCAGCAGTCTCCCTAAACTGATGAAAAGCCAAAGCAGAACACAACAGCTGAGGCTGGTCTGTACCCAGGCACGTACCAGGTGCTGCCTATGGGGCCCTGATCTCTATGGGGAACTGAATGAGAACATAACAAGCTGATTCAAACATGTTTTGAGGGCATTCAGCCATACACTGGATAATCTTGATCCAAAGTGTGTTTTCACTGCCTCTGAGCTGAAAATCTGAGTCCTTCCCTCTCTCTGCTCCAACTTCACGTGCCAAGAAGCCGTGGCTTCCCTGGCATGAGTGCACGCTAGGGGAACAGGGCTCTGTCAAGTGTGTTGGGAAAGAAAGGAGCCCCAGAGTAAAATGCCAGCATATGCTGTGTATTACTGAGTGTAATACAGTACACTCAAGTACGTTACATTTCACAGAGTTTGTGCCAAGAGAGCCACATTTCAAATCTCCCTTATTAGCGGCCACGAGAGTGAGGGCTGATTTCAGACTGCTGGGCAATGATTCACATGAGGAGATACTCAACAAGCCTCTCCTACACAAGCAATTACAGAAAAAAGCTGCTGTCTTGGCCCAATTAATTTTGTCTCTGGAAACCAGCTCTGAATAAATTAATATAGCTAGAATTGGAAAAGAAGGTAGGCTGACAAAGCTATAGTATAACCATGCTGGCTGTGACTTCCAGGAAATCTGTCCATGGATTTTTTCCTATTAGCCAAGGAAAGAAGGCTGTGTGCCCATTGAGGAATGATCTCTAGGAAGAAAAGAGAAGAATCCCTCTTGAGAAACTCCCTTCCAAATGAAAAGAAGATGAAATCCTGAACCAGAGTTCACAATCACTTTTTCATAACTGCAGTCACTTTCCAACAAGAAGTACCTTAGGACCACCTTCAGAAAAGAAACACAGCCTCTGGGGAAAAGTGTTTTCCTTCTCCCCAAGAGTACTCCTAACATCAACTATCCTCCTGCTTTGTCTCCTGAATTTTCCGGCCAGAGGCAGACTCTGCAATCATGACTGAAGAGCACCCTTACCACAGCAGATCTCATCAGAGGGGACCCCAGCACAGGGTCACACAGACTGGAAAACTGAACATGTCTGCCAAGGTGAAATCAGCCAGCACTCAGCAGAAATGTATAAATTCACTGGCAGCAGAAGCAGAGTGCTGCCAAGATAGCAGCTGATGAAATCAATGTTCTCCCACGCTGGAATTTAATACTGGCATCCTAGCATTTCTTATGAACTGCTCTTCAGTGCTCTCAGTGTCTGTCTGCCTTACTAAAATTTTGAAGCAGGCATTTCTAGCACTGCTGTCATCAAGCTGCAACGTTAGTTTAGCACCAACACCACTCTCATAAGCAAACTGTTGGCATTAAGTTCCACAGCACCCACACACAATCAGCCACACCCAGATTGTACTGTAGAAAGTTGCCATTTAAGATTGCAGCATACTGCAAAAAGAAAAGAAGCAGCACCAAAAAAAAATCTTGCAGCAAGCATGAGATTGATTTCAACTACCCTACGGTCCCTGAATAGGGCCTGGCACAGCACAGAAGGCAGGAGAGATGTCAAAGCACACAGCTGCAGCTGAAGTTGGGGCATAGAGAAAGGTGTGTCCTCCCTGGCACCAGTGGGTAAAAACAGGGAGGCAAAGGCACACTTCCAAGGAAGGAAAACAAGGTTGAAAATGCAAAATTGGAGAAAGACAAGCTCCTGGAAGCTTTGCACACAAGTTAGTATGAGGAAGGCTTCCCACACTTTGTTATACTCACATTAGTATTTCTGCTCCTTCTGGCAGGCACTGGAGCAAAACTAGCGCTCACTAAATGGACTGGCACTACCTGGGGAACAGGAATGGAGCAATCTTCCAATCAGACAAGGTCATCAGATAAATTACAGCCCAAACAGAGATGACAGACATTATTTCAGGCCGTTAAGCCCACTGCTCCCAGATGCAAGGGCTCCTTGCAGGTAAATGACTTACCACATACACCTGCCTACTTCATGGAGCAGCGGATGGAGCACTGGTTTTGTTTTCACCATCCCCACCATGGCTAGATTTGGAGCCTGTCCCTTTGAAGGCTCCCATGCCTACTCTCAAACGAGTGCTGGCTTTCTCCGTTGTGTAAGTTCAGCGCTATTAACAAAGAGTAGACCCAATCCTGCCCTACGACACTGTGGTCTTTGCTCTGCAGCACGAAACCTGCCTCAAAAACGGGGAGTCCAGAGAAAGACATCCCCTTGTTCTAATGGACTAAAGCATGCAGAAGAAGTGCTCTTGACATGGACCTACCATGACCATTCTAATGGCCAAAGCCCCACGGTTTGCCAGGACCTGATCCAGAGGTCTGCTCCAGGGAGCTGCTGCTCCATGGGATCCAACCCTACCTGTCCAGCCAGTGTACGCGGTGCAGTCATGCGGGTCGGCGGACTTGAGGCCCTTCTCCATCTGCTGCAGCAGCTCCCTGATTTTGTTATTCAGCCGCTGCGTGAATTCGGGGGTCAGCTGTGGAGAGAAAACCCACCAAACGTGAAGGCAACGCGGGTGGCCATCGCTACACCGGGCAGCCCCGGGGAACCGCGTTTGTAACCTGACAGGTCTCTGCTCTACACGGCCGGGACAGATCCCCAGAGCCGCCTCGCCCCAGCCCCGCTCACCCGCCCGGCCGCGTCGAAGTAGCTGGTGGCCAAGGACTTGTCATAGTCCGCGTAGGGGTTCGGGAGCGCCCGCTGCGCCATCATAGTGCCGCTCGGCTCGGCTCGGCTCGGCCCTGCTCGCCCGCGGCCCGCCCCGGCTCCGCCCCGGAAGGCGCCGCTGCCGCCGCTCGCTCCTTCCCGCGCCAGGGGCGGGCTCGGGGCCTGCGGCTGCTGCCGCCGGCGCTGAGGGGGCCGGGGTCGCTGTCCGGCCGATGCTGTGGGGGCACGGCCTGTTGCAGCACGTTGTGTCTGCTTTAGAGAACCCTGTGGAGCTGAGGTCCCTTGCAGCTGATCGTGCAGGGTTTCTTGCAGCTGATCGTCAAGGGGGCCGGTTGCAGCTGGCCCTGTGGGTTTAGGGGCCCGTTGGCAGCTCGGTCTGTGTGCTTCAGGGAGCCCTTCGGAATATAAAGGTCCTTTGCAGCTGGTCTTGTGGGGCTTAGGGACGCTGTAGGGCTGAGGGTAACTGTCTCTGTCTGGTTTAGGGAGCCCTGTGAGATTTTGGGCCCCTTACAGGTGGCCCTGTGGTGTTTAGGAGTCCCATGTGGGGGTCCCTGTGGGCTTTGGTTCAGTGGGCTGCATGGAGCTCGGAGGCCCTCTGGGATTAGGGGCCCCTCACAGCAGCCTGGAGTGGATGGGCTCCACACGGGTTTGGCGATAAGCTGGTGCTGGCAGGGTCAGCCCAAGGATAATGTGCTGAGTCCTGCACCCCCAGAAGGATTTCCTCACTTGGGGTGGGACCCAGCCTGGATGGGGGACAGGGGCTCTTCCTGGCTGTACCTTGCTGAGCTGCTGCATGTCACCTGTGCTGGCTGAGCTACATCTTCCTCAGGAAGAGGTTAGGTCCCCATGAGTCATAGACCTGAACAGTGCTTTTCCTCCCAAGTACAACATAACTGTGCTGCCGTCCTGCTGGGGATCTTCTTGGTGTGGTCGTGGGGCAGTGTGCAGCCACCCAGGTACAGTGTACTTTGTGCTGCCAGGTAGCATTCATTGGGCTCACATGTCCTTATGTGCTGTATTCCTCAATCCAGACCTTGCTGCTTGGTGTAACACTGTGCTCAGCTCCCTTTCTTCTGACCCCATGGACCTGAGATGAGTTGTGATGTCCCTGCTTGAGGTGTGGCTTGCTGAAGTGTATGACAGGTGCACTTGTGCCACTGCGGGCTTGCTTGTGTGTCTGTTGGGGAAGCACAAAGGGATGTGGCTGAGCTTGAAGCTCTTGGTGACTTGTCAAGGTCTAAGCGCAGTGACACTTTCCCTTGTAGGAGCTGAATCCATCTGGGTGGGTTTAGGGGAAACTGCTGCTCTAAGAATTTACACATTGGTGACTATAAGCACCCTGAGAATCCTTTAGGCTGCTGCACTCATGTCTGAAACAGTTGTATTATATAAGGGATTCTGTTTTTCTGTCCATATGTCCATTCTTTATTACAATCAATAAAATTAGACCTTAAAGAAAAAAAGTAAATTATTTCACGATATGGCGAGAAACAAACATAAAAGAGGGAATTGCAATTATGTTTGCTTTCAGTTCTTTTTTCACTCAGCTGTTGCTTGTTTAGTGAATTTCAATCACGTAAACATTGCCTTGCATTCAAGGCAGGGAGATGGACTGCAGTTTTAGTATTCAGGGAGGTGCCTCTACCATCAGCAAAAAATAATGTGGAGTCTTCTGCTTAAGGCCAGATTCACAGCCTTATATTATGGTCTTCCATCTGCAGGTCAAAGCAGTATTCACTGCCCTCCTTCCCTCTGGCACAGTTCAGTATTAACTTCCAGCATAAAGCACAGCATTTCAGCTTCAGAATCTTTCTTTGATTCCTCACATTAGTTTTTTCTCCTGATCACTTAAAGACAAAGATGGTTCTCCCAAATTATTCTGCCAAGGAGTTATGTTTCAGTATATTATTTTCTAATTGATCATGGTCACTTTGGCTTTGGTGCACCTCTTGCTGCCCAGGATGAACCCAGAAATCCAGACTGCAGCTGTTCACTCAGAGCCCAAGTAAGAGATTAATGATTCATCCTTAGTAACCTGCCCATGTAGAATGGGGAATGAAAGAAGGAAGGGCTCTTGAGAGGAAAGCTGCTCCTGTGTTCTTGCAATCCCAGTCACTTTGGGCTGTTTGGTGGGCCTGTTTGTTTGCTTTGTCTGAAAAGGGTCATGCTGCATTCTTTGAAAAAAAAAAAAAAAGCTATTAAAGCAGATCTGTTCAGAACACATCTAGAGAGGAACTGTGTGTGGAAGCAGCTATGAGAGCACAGGGAAAATGGCAAGAAAGCAATCTCTAGTAGCTTTCCTGGCTGTCCTGTCACAGCCCCAGGAAGTCTGTCTCTGAAATGACTTGCAATCAGTGGTTGAATAGATGTCCCCAAATCTTTCTACCTGTGACAAAACTAAAGGATGTAATACTTTCTGCTCCACAACATTGTCTAAAAGACAAATCCTTACTAAATTTTAGCAACACAAGGATCCTGGCTGTTGTTGGTCCCAACTGTAGCATATCTGTGGATTATGTGACTGAAATGGATTTTCATAGTCTTCCTTGAAGAAAACCTCAGCATGCCTGGGTGTCTGCTCCCTCCTCATTCCAGGACATGAAACCAAAATCTCTTGACAGATGTTACAGCTGCTTGCATACTACATGGCATCCTGCCTGAGGGCATACTGAAACATCTTCCTGAGAGGAGCTGTCTCCTGCTGGAGACTGTCCTTCACTGCCTGCAGGCATCCATCAGTTGTGTAAACTCACCTGCAGCGAATCTCCATGCAGCAGGTGCCCAGTGTGGGCAGTGTGGATGCCGACTTGCAAGTGGCCTTTCCAAAATGTTGGTTTGCCATCTGCCCCGCCTCCACAGCCTCCTCTCAGGGTCAGAGCGACCTCACACAGCAGGCTCCACGCTGTGAACCAGATGGGCTTGGCATGGTAACCCCACAATAGTAAATGTGAGGCTTGCTTGCTCTGCTTTGCATTTGCATGCTATATGTGAGGGAGTGCAGTGAGCAAGGGTAGAGTGTCCTTTGTAGCCTTGTCAGCTAGAAAAAGGAATTTGAGAGGCTGTGTGGAAGTGCTCCACAGAGCATGGTCATCCTCAAGGAGTGTGAGAGTGTCCTGGAAAAATGTACTGGCAAAGTACTTGGGCGGTGGGAGGGTTTTAATCTGCTGAAAAAATGCCCAAGGGATGTCTCAGCAGAATGCTACATCACAGAACTACTGCAAGACAAGGTTTTTGTGGACATTTAAGAGATGTAATCCAAGTTGCAGCATTTATCTCCCCATCTCTGCTTTGGTTTGTTTCTTTTTTGGTGTTGGCTTCTTTGTGTTTCTGCTTTAGACACAGCACAGAGTAAAAGTGAGAAGCTTCCCAGCTGTATTCATTAGCTTCTCTTACACGTTATTTATTCAGCAGCAGCATAGCTGAAGATACTATATAGCTAAGATTGATGTCCAAAGTGTCCTGGGACATATAACAGATCAAAATCAAAGATTTTCTTCATTGTAAATAACAATTTTGAATATCAGATGTTTTTTCTGCCATGGTGCTATGTATAAACTAGAGATAATTCTAGAAACCTTGCTATTCTTTAATATTAGAGCCACAGCCCCCCATATTTGATGTCAGTAAAAATGCAAACTTACCCCAAGAAATTGAAGATCTTAATGCCATTCTGAAGCTAAGTAGCTTTGCTTCAGAAGGTGAGGCAAGTGTTACATCTTAGCATTATAAGTGGATTTTTTTTCCTTTTAGAGGGATATCCAGGAGAAGGGAAAAACATTTTATTTTACTGTATTTTTTTTCCATTTTATGGATGGCATTGATTGTTTATCTTTTAGCAGCTTGTATGAAGACGTCAAAGGCTAAGTATTGGTGACAGAGTTTCAGCTGTTCTAGTTGATTCATTGATAGTATTTCTGGTGAGCAGAGCTTACCTGTATCGTGCCTGCACTTATTGTGGCCAGGTTATTAAGCCAGGCATTTGGTACAGAGAATTCTGATTTCATGCACAAACACAGTGGGGGGCTTTGAGCTAGTGGTTACCACTCAGATCTCAGAGCTGTAGTAGGTACTTCTGTGAAAACACTGCTCACAAGGCAAAAGAAAAAAAATAAAAGTAGGAAGGGAAAAGAGCACAAAACCAGGAATGCTGTTAGAAGTGTCTGTGGCTCACCTGCATCTCGCATACTGTCTTATGTCCTGATCTCATCTCAAACAAGACAGCAAAACTAGAAGCAGCACAAGTCATAGGACATTATAATGAGGCCAAAAAGGAGATCATCAGCTGTGTGGAATGACTTAGGTGCAAGGACTAAGCAGCTAGGCCAGGACTATTCAAGCTGCAACAGAGGTATCTGAAAAGGGCTGCAGTGGGTGTCTGTAAACCTTGACCAGTGTCACGAGCATGAGCAGGGGAGGGTGACCCACTGGCTCTCAAAGCTAGCAGACATGAACTGCAGCAGCTCTCAGAGGTGAAGGTTATCCATGGAGCTATGCTGTTGCAGGTTGGCAAGTACAAAGACACAGCTGGGCTTGTGCACGGGAGGGGCTGAGCCTCAATCCCGCTCCTGGAGAGTTTGGTGGCCGTGCTTCTGTTCCCTAGCACGCTGCCCGAGCATCCGACGCAGCCTGGGCTCTGGGAGGGCTTGCTCTGGGCTGCTGGGCCTGGTGCCATGTGTTTCTATTTTGCTTTATGGCATGTGAACCTGGGCAGAGCAGCCGAACAGCTTTGTAGCAACCTGTCTGCGTGTCGGCAGCAGAGCACGCCGCTTAAACTACAGACACATCCTTGATGGGAGTGTGGTGGCTCTACCCGATCTTTCAGCGCTCTGCCGCTAGATGCCTCTGTCCCACAAGGAAGGAGCCGGAGCAGCTCTGTGCCTGTGCCCTCAGCTGGCACACCGGGAAGGCATCCATCCATGCCCTGCTCAGTGTGGGACGGGAGGGCGTTAATTGCTGTGTAAGGAGTAGAGAGCAGTGGTTCTGCGCGTAGCAATCCTCTGTGACATTTTATCATTTTCTCCTTGTGAACCACAAGATATGGATGTCCCCCAAAGCAGTGGGAATCCATCCTATTTTAGCAAATGAGAGAAGTTGAGAGCAGACCTGACTGAGAAG